ACTCTTCTTTGTCCAATTAAGCTCGCTTGCATGTCTTTTCTGCTTCTTACCACCATACTTTTCTTGTTTACCAGGCAATCTGAGGGACACATTTTGTAACTGAGCTAAGATTTGGTGAACATATTTTCGAGCTGGTGGAGGTCGTTTCTCAACCTTACCATAAATTTTTTTTTTTGTCATCCCATGTTTAATAGGAAGCCATTGCTGATGGCCAACAAAACAAGTCTTACTTGTTATCCTCTTTGAAGGGGTTGAATCGTTGCAAGTTGGGCATGCTAAATAGCCCTGACCACTCCATCCAGATAAACTACTACGTACAGGAAAATCATTAACTGTCATGAGCAACATAGCCCGCATATGAAATGATGTATTCAAAATTGCGTCACGTACAATTACTCCTTCATTCCATAAATCTTTTAACTCATCCACAAGGGGCCTTAAAAAGACATCCATATCCTTTCTAGGTGCATTTGGGCCAGGAATCAACAATGTCAACATCTTATAAGGATCCTTAGTGCATAACCACAGAGGTAAATTATAGGTCGTTAAAATCACAGGCCACATACTGTAAGAGAGGCTCATGTTCCCGAAAGGATTGAAACCATCAGCGGCCAACCCCAAGCGAACATTTCTTGGCTCACGTGAAAACTCAGGATACTTTTCATCTATCTCCTTCCATTCATTACCATTGACTGTATGACGCATTAAATCCTCATCATTTGAACGCCCACACTGGTGCCACATCATATCTTTAGCTGTGTGACGAGAACCGTACAGACGCTTCAACCGATCTGTTAACGGAAAATAACGTAGTACTTTCCACGACACTTGTTTAGTACCTTTTGTCTTTTTTTTTTCTTCCAACGGGATGTTTTACATACGGGATACGTTTGTAGATCAGCGTTCTCCTTCCAAAACAAAGCACAATCGTACTTGCAGACATGAATTGTTTCGTAACCCAGTCCAAGTTTACTCATGAGGTTCTTCGACTCATAATGAGAAGAATGTAACTTCACATCCAGGAATGCATCTTTCAATAGATTTAACAGAGCATCCATACACTCATTAGGCCACTTGTATAACACTTTTAAATGCATCAATTTCACTAAGAAATTTAAAGATGAATACTTAGTGCAGCCCGGATACAATCCCACCTGGAGCTCAGAAAGTAGATCCTTAAATTCAGCGTACTGTGCATCTTCTACATCCACATGCGTCTCATCCAACATTTCATTGTCATCACTAATCCCAACAACGTCTTCTAAGACTGCAAACTTCTCGTCTAATGGTTGATTAACTATTGGGTCGACACCTGAAACCATTTCTACTTCACCATGGTGAATCCATGTACTATACAATGGATCAAAACCAAATCGATGTATATGCGCTCTCACAATTTCTACTAGATACATTTCATGGTTTCTACATTACACACAAGGACAAATGATATGGCCAATTGAAGTTGCATAATTTTTGGCGACGTCAATAAAAGTAGATAACCCATTCCAATATTCATCTGACAATCGGTTCCTCAAATAAGTCCAACTTTTGTCAATCGGCATTTGAACTATAAACAACAACAGACATAACAATTTATTAATGTGTTTAATTAATTTTAATTATACTCTTTATTAACACAATTAAATTTTATTAATTAAAGTTTCTTAATGAACTTATTAAAATTCTCTTTTTCTAACTAAATTTCGGCAGCATAGCGACTTACTTTTCATATGATCCAAAAATCAAAACCTGCAGAAAAATAACTTTAAAAGATTTCGGCACACCATAGCTGCAAGATGTGCCACCTAGAACAAGAATCATAAACATATACTAAATTTTAACAATATAAGAAAATCATAATTCAAATATTCTCATCATAATCCTGAATTCATACAACCAAAAACTACAACAATTTTTAAACTAAATAAATATAAAAAACTTACAAAGTTCAAACCCACTAAACGAGTGCTGAAAATAGCAGGATTACATCGGAGGAACCGTGCAAACAGTGACGGAGGCAAAAAATCAAATGCCTACATCAAAACAAAACATCGAACATAATTTTCAAACACTAAAATTAACATTTTATTAACATATAGAGTAACATATAGACACAATTCTTGATTAATTAAATTCTCAGAACCATAAAAAATGACTAAACTCGAACAAAAATCCATAACATTTTCTATTTTCTATTTCCTTCTTCCATGTACTTGGCAAGTAACAACAACCCCTAACAAAAATCCCTAACATTCTTCGAATCAATGCAAGTAACCAAACAAAAA